ATTTGCACCGAGTTAACTACAATCCCGAATTGAGTTGGCCGAGGAGGTTTCAGATAGCATTGGGGACAGCCCGAGCCTTAGCTTACCTTCACCATGACTGCAAGCCTCAAGTGCTTCATCTTAACGTCAAGTCCACTAACGTACTCCTGGGCAGAAACTACGAGGCTAAGTTGTCTGATTACGGTTTGGTTAAATTACTCCCCTTGCTCGATAACTACAGCCCTACCAAATTTCACAACGCGGTTGGTTATGTTGCACCCGAGTTAGCTCAGAGTCTGAGATTCAGCGATAAGTGTGATGTTTATAGCTTCGGGGTGATCCTATTAGAGCTGGTTACAGGGAGGAAGCCAGTCGAGAGTCCAGTCGTGAACGAGGTGGTGGTCTTGTGTGAATACGTTAGGCGGTTGATAGAGAGAGGCGCTGCTTCGGCCTGTTTTGATAGAGGTCTACGAGGTTTTGTAGAAAACGAGTTGATTCAGGTAATGAAGTTGGGCTTGATTTGTACTTGTGAAGTGCCTTCAAGGAGACCAAACATGGCTGAAGTAGTTCAGGTTCTTGAATCCATCAGAAATGGCTCAGAATCATAGTTAAGATATCATGTTTTGGATTTATTTATTTATCACTTTGTTCTTTGAAATTCTGCAAAAGTGCCATTCTTTAATTCTCTTGTAACTAGCTAGATGAATGAAGAAATGAAAATACTATTGCATGATAATATGGCTAACACACACCTGACAGACAGACATCTTAGGAAACTATGATTCAGAGACTAAACTGTCTCGAAACCTAAACACTACTGAAATGTTTTTGTGTTCTACTCATTTATCTCCATCAGAAACCTTGTCTGCTGAATTATGCTTCCTCATAGTTGACACAAATGCTAAAGGGGTCTGCTTTGTCCAGCGTCGAATATCATAGCTCTTCTTTGCTGGTTTCTTCTCCTTAGCAAGTCGCTTCTTCGTGATGGCGATTGCATAGTCGTTGGGGAAGAGAGTGCACCAGACGAAAGCGTGGAGAAGGGTTGAGATGAAGAGGAGGAAGACCATTGTAGATGACATGAAAGAAAGTGTCACAGCCAGACCCTTGCTTATCACAGAAGGAGCTTGTTCTGCATACTTTATTGTTGCTATTGATGCTGTTGTCATGGGAAATGTGTATGACCACCATGCCACTGAGAATCTGTAACCAGAATGAATGCATAGATTGTGTTATTGGAAAGTGTTAAGAGTGTCCACATTGATAAAATAAGAGAGAACATATGGGTTCATAAGGCTATGAGTTAGACTAGCTAATTGGTTTTGGCCTATGTGCATTATAGCCCCAGTTGAGTGACCCTAGTCCAATCTTAGTTTATAACATGGTATCAGAGCTTGTTAGCTAGCTAACCTGAAACCTCTGAAGAAGTTGATGCGCACAACAAGAGATAAGTAGAGGAACAAAGCTATGAAGTAGCAGGTTCTGGCCAGGCCATCAAATTCACCATAAATGGCTCCCCAAGCAATGCTGGCTGCTGCTGGAGTTGCAATGAACATGGAATAAACCGGGTGAAGCTCCTTAGGCAGCGCCTCGCTCGTGGGCAATCGTTGGTAGAGCGTTACAAACACGACGAGATAATGTGCAAAGCCAATAGCCCATAAGAACTTGCCAGCCTCCATCCACCCCACCTTGGCTGCAAGAATAGCCCCAACAAAGTTCCCAATCACAGACAGATGGGAAGACGGGTTGGCCACTTTGGAGAGGCGCCGCTTCCCTCCCGAGAGCCACTGCCCGTATATCTTGAGGTTGAGGAAGAAAACGGGCGCCATGAAGACGCACCAGATCGCAGGGTGGAGAGTGTCTCCTGGTGCAATTGCAGGGGGTGTGGCTATGGCTAAGAACATGCAGACAACCCACGGGGCGAAGAAGAAGTTTACCCTTACGGGATGAAAGTATTCTCTCTTCACAGCTTCAAAGTAGAGTATGCATTTGGATGTGTAGGTGAAGAACACAGCCAGAAGGATGCATAGGGCTAATACCCAGAGAGCAAAATTTATGAAGGGTGAGATGTGAAGGAACTTTGTAGCAGGACTAGTAGCCAAGGATCTCCAAAGGATTGCTTGACTGCTAAGACCTAAACAGATTCCAAAGCATCCTATTGGGAATCTCAGTAGAAATGGCCACTTCTCATCTTTGGGCAGAAGTATATCTTCAGTATCCTGCAAAGACATCATTTTGATAATATAATTGAAGCATGTGCTCCATCTCAACTAAAAGCCTAAGCTAATAGTTGGATTGCATATTAATTGTTATATGCTCAACAAATATACCTTGACTTGATCGAGTTCAGGGCCTCTAAGAGCATCAAAGTATCTACCAGCAGGAACACTGTCGTTGACATTATCATCAAGCTCTGCATTGAGATTACTCTTCTGATGATCAATCCCACTTTCTTTTTTGAGAGGCAGCTTGGAGTTTTGTCTGACAAGATTTGATTTGGTTTTGAAGATACTGAAATCCCCTTTCCTTGCTGCTTCTGCACCCACTCCAAATCCACTGAAACTTTGCCCACTTCTTGAGAGAACTTTCCTATCATTTCTGTGTTTCGACGATTCGCCATTAAGCACAGAGAAGCCAGTCTCCAGTGAAACTTGCCTGCTGAAACCACCCCTACTGTTTCTCCTTGCTTCCCTGAGTTTCATTTGCCTGTTGAAACGCTTGGCCGCGGTTCTGTCATCACCCGCCATTGTTTTTCTTGAGCTTTCTTCTTCTTCTTCTTCTTCCTTCTCCTCCTCTTCGTGCAGGACTTCATGGATGTCGACAAAATGGGTTTTCAGAGAATCCGGAGAAGATGGTCGTGCATTCATCTTGATGAGATTGTAGTCCAAGAGAGAGATAGAGAGGCTGAATCCATGGGGTTTTGGGGTTTATATATATATGCATGGTGTGAATGATCTTGCATGGTCTCGTCACGGGCGCAGAAATAAAGAAGCAAGCTGGCGAGGTGGTGGTGGTTGATTGCAATGGAGATGCATGGAGGGAAGTCTGCAACCCACAACTTTTGATTGCATAAAAAGGTAGGTGCATGGAGGGTGGTTTCTCGTGAAGGAAAAGTGGAGGATTTTGTGGCTTACAAAGAACACAACTATTAGGGGTTGAAGATTGAATTTGAATCCAATTGTTATGTCGTGGAACCATGTGGACACGGTTCTAATACAAGGCCGTTTGACAATTTTGGAGTAACGGTGCCGTTAGTGGCACCGTTTTCCTACATCAATCAGAATTTTTTTTAAAAAAATTGTCAAAACAACTCAGCCAGACGTTGTGAATATAGAGTTCAAAAATTGTGAACACAGATCGAGTTCTTTAATTACGAACATATATAGAATTCTATAATTATGAACATAGAGTTCTGTAATTGTGAATATAGAGTTCAAAAATGGTGAACAGTTCACAATTGGATGCATGCTTCACAAGTTCACATTTTGGTTATGATCTTCTTCACTTATGGATTTATGGTTTTGTAAGTTCATTTTCAAGAGACAATAAGGTGCAATTGCTTGACTTGATCTTTCACGGGCCTTCGTCCAAAATTACTTGCACAGCTTTTACTATAACTCTAATACCACTTGTTAGATAAGTAATGGCAACGTCCGGAAGAAAATGGTACATCTGTGGGGTTGACGACCATTGTGAATTGCATGCATGGCGCCATGCATGTTTAAGATTGTAACATGGCTTAATTAATTAAGTTTACCACATTAATTTCGTTTCTTTATTTCAATACTTTCTCTATATTGCTGTTGATTTGCAGCAACATGGCTTAATCCTCAAGATCTGTTAATTTCTTCTTAATAATTTTAAGTTAAATTCGCATTTAAGTTAAAGACTCCCTGCAATCTAAACTGTCAAATCTTATATAATGCATTTAAGTCAAATCTTATATAGTTATCAAGATTATCTTGTACGTATTAATAAATGGGGACTTACAAAAGAATCTTTAAAGATAAGCAAAGGATTCAATAATTAGTTGAAATCATAGTTACACAATCAACTGCCGAACCAACCAATTCATTTATTGCAGCAGCAAGCTAGCTAGGGGGAATTCAAATGATTTAGGAACAATGGAACATCATCTGCCCACAATCGTGTATTTGAAAACAACCTATTAAGAAGCTAGAAAGTGACCTTGATACATAAATATAAGAGTCCATTTTTAACCCTAGATTGCATATAGCTGACCGACTCAGTAGGCGTTTTTACTAAGATTCGAAATGGAAATCTTGTGGTTACCAAAATAACAGTATAACCAACTTAACTAGGGTTACCTCCAAGATTCGATTTTTCAACCTTACAGTAGACCAACCAGTTGAATCATGTCTCGAGAGCGAGAAGATACAGTTACCAAGGCGGTTGGAAGAAAGACCAAACACCTTTGCTATTGAAGGGTTGGGTTTTCTTTGTGAAGCATGCAAGTGGTTGGTTGAATCATTCCACCTTACCCTCCACTCCATTTCCCTTTCAAGAAAGCAACATCTGATCTGCTACATTCAATTTATACTCAAGAGTCCCAACCCATGAAGTTGTTTACTAAATTGCCACAACACTATCCAACCATATATTCTTGCCCCACAACCTAGAATAGGTACTGCAATAATGTTTTAGTATCCATTAGGCAAAAAGAATCCAACCAGGCAACTTAACTCCAAATACATTAATTTCCTTTCGTGTTTCAGTATCCGAATCTAATTTTAAACACGATGAGAGTGCCCTATTTATCTAAGGTATGCCCTTTCCTTCCTTCCTCTCCCACTTCTAGTCGTCTAAAGAAGGATAACTCGCAGAAGCCATAAACATTATGGCATGTATGCTCGATCTACAGATTAAACTACCTCAATTACTAGCTTGTTGTTCAATGAAGGTGTTCATATAGTCTTGAATTTTCACAATTAGACAAATATATGATGCAAAAATGAATGAAATTGCAGTGCTAGATAGGAAGGAGGACAATTCTGCTCCTCAAAAAAATTGCTTCAAAATATAATAATATCGAAGTATCAGTCTTCCATTGTTCTAATTGCAGCATCAATCAAAGGAGTATATAGAATTACAGAGAGGGGAAAGTAAAAGAGACAGCTTTATTCTCCTAAACAATCCCCAATAATCAAGAACAGTTATGTATGTAGAAAAAAGCAAACCCCCCATGAAACCTTTTTCTTTTCTCCCACCATACCCCATCTTTCATTTACAATGGGATAATCATTCAATCACTATATATGCCTTTGATTCCAGAATAAATTCTAAAGGAATGCAAAAAGATTAAAGCAAAAGAGCCTGACCAGATGCATTATCAATGAGCTGTGGCTTTGGATCTCTTCTTTGCCTCACTGTAAAGCACGACGCCCATAATTGTGACCGCGAATCCGGTTATCCCCATCACTGTCACCGGGTTCCTGAAGATCAAAACGGACACCACTGCAGCCACTGCAGCCTTGGCATTGCCCAAAACCTGCAGTGTTAAGGCACTTGTGTGTTTTGTGACCAAGAAATTTGTCAAGTTAACTAAATACGCCACGGTTGCGTTCCCAATTAACAAGAAAACCATGAACCCATCTCCCTTCGCCTTCTCCACTGTCACCCCCAAAACATTGCCCTCAATGTAGAGTGTAAAGGGCAGCAAAATGAGAGCTGCCATTGGAGCCATGTAGAGTAAAAGGTTCATGGAGTGCAATTTCTCTGCCTCAGAAGTCAGCAACAAACCCTGAACCACAGATTTCAAGGCCCTCCCAGCAGTGGAGCCGATGCACATCAAGAACCCAAAGAGATGAAATAAGGGCTCACTATTGCTAGCCAAAACAATGCCTAAAACCACTGGGACCAGAGCCAAATAAACCTCCGCAGACTCCTTCTTGCAAGTAATCACAAAAGCGAAAATCGCAGTGAAAAACGGCGTGGTGGCGCCGATTGCTTGGTTGAATGACACCGGGAGGTACCTCAAAGAAGTATTCCCACAAACAACGGAGAAACAAAAAATGGCACTCAAAGCAAGAATCTTGAAGAACTGTTTCCGGCTAAGGATATGCTGGAAAGGCACCACTTCTAGCCACTTTATGGCGACCACACTGTAGGCGGCGCAGGACAACATATGCAACATAGTCAAGAAAATCGGGTACCGGTAGCCGTAGAAGCTGAGGAGATACTTGTTGAGCAACAGCACACCGATGTTGGAGCAGTACCAGGAAGCAATGATGACGGCGGTGAGAATGTTCGGGGAGATTAAGGTCCCCAGACCGAACCCGAAGCCGTTCCCGTACTGCTGCTGCCTCACCTCAGCAGTGGGAGTGATGGGCATGTCCAAAACCTGCTCATTCGACTCCAACCTCGGATTACTCATCCTCCGGGTAGTCCATGTCTGCGCCTCCACCATTGCTGACCACCACGCAGAACAATCAAGAATGCAAAACCAAAAATAATAATAATAAAGATTGAATCTTTAACGTTCTGCAAAGAACACAGAGATCTTGAGAGGGAGCAGTTATAAAGGGGAGTGATTAATGGCAGGTCGATGATGGCGTCGGACGGTGGAGATCTAGATTTGGGAGAGTGTCGGTAAGGTATTGGGTGGATTTGGAGAGTGTGGGGTCACTGTACCACATGCTGGAAAAGCATGTGAGCTGTAAGAGTGGGACCCAATGGCGGATGTGTCTGAATTCCCATTTTCCTAAATTCCATCCAAAATTTTAGGGCTTGGCTCACAAGCTGTTTTATATATTGTCATTGAAATTTTGAAAATGTTAGTTATGACTTCTTCTATAGTAGATATTTTACAATTTTTAAATTATACATAAGAATGCAAGAACAAGTTTTGAGAATTGTAATGTGAAAATTTCATCCTCAACAATATGGGAATGACTTTTTGTGAATATAGACACTGGTTCTTTTATCTAATGGACAGTTAAGTTATTATGATTCATTCATCTGTAATCATGTCATATTGAGATGTAAAAGTTCTGAGGTAAAGAATTTTTCATTTGTAGGATATATTTTACAACTATTTATTATTTATTAATTAACAATTTTGAAGAGTACACTAAGTATAAATTAAGTAATGCTATTTGTAGCATGTGATAAGTTTTTACCTAATTAAATAGTTATGAGTATCATTGAATATAAAACATTAAATGACACAAAATAACACACAGTATGATATTAGGTTGATCAAGAGTTTAATGAATGAGGGTTAAAGATACATTAAAGAGATTGGTGTATGGACATTTTGTGAATCTTGACAAAATAACATTCATAACAGTGTTACAAAAATTCCGCTTAAACAATGATTAATCGACGCCTAAGGACGTAATTGCAAGTGGTTGATTAAAGTATTATTTGGGAACATATTCAGTTACATGGGTGTCATTCATGATTTCCCAAACAGGATAAACATGAAAAAGCCCATTAATTTAGACACGTGGTGCTGTGCTGTCGTCAAGCTAATCAGCCCAACGGCCCAATATGGATCATCAGAGTTGAATTAAATTGATGGACCAAATTGACTGATACAAAAAAAAAATTACAACAAATTATGTGGGCAAAATTGAAATTAAAAGAAACCTCGAGGTGCAAATTGAAATTTTCCTTCAATTCAACATTACAGTTCTACCTGCGACAAGAATCACACTTGTACTAAAATATATAAACCGATGACGCTTCTTCAGTCACGCGCCACTGTCTCTTCTTCGATGTCCATAACGTTTTCGAGGCAGCTCAAGAAATTTGCCCCCACTCTACTGATTCACAGAACTCCCAGAAATTTCTCCGTGAAGATGGCGACCGAGTCGCCCACTCACCTCATCCACACCCTCAGTCTCCCGAGTCAACTCGGTCAACCCGTCTCCGTTGTCGCTGCTCCTGGCCTCTCCGACACCCAATTCAAGCAAGAATTTTCTCCCTTTTATTGTTTTCATTACATTTATATATGTTGATGAGATGAATTAATGGGTGTGTCATATATATGCTTATTTTTGGTGTATATTTGCTATTGTATGGCTAATTAAGAATGCCCATTTCAATGTATTGTACTAAATTGGATAAATTTGTAATCTTTGGTAATAATTCTTCCATGTTTATATGGGCTTGTGTAGAAAGAGCTTTTTCTATGATTCCCTATATTTGGGTATAAGGAGTTGAATGCTGGTGGTAGACAAAATTAGATCTTTTTGTGCTTGGAGTCGAACCTTGTAGTTACTAAGTCAATAACCTAATCAACTTGATTGGAATTGCCCTTTTTGTGCTCGACTTTGGAATCAAGTGGAGTTGTTTGATGTTTGCAGGAATGCTATTGAGTCCTCTCTATTCAAGCAGTGGCTGAAAAATATACAAACTGAAACAGGCCTGCTGGCTAATGGGTCAATGTCTTTGACACAAGTGCTGATTCAGGTTTAGCAATGTTTTTTTTGAAATGATTAATGTAGGACTAAGAAGTTCATGTGAATAGGTAACTAGATTGTTAATCTATTCCAAGTTGTCGTGTTTGGGGTTCCAGAACTAATTAGTATATTCTCTTTCTTTCATATAATCCACCTTGCCGGAGAAGGGTGTAGATATGTTTGGCAAACGTGTTGGGTTTCTCAAGTTCAAAGCGGATATTATTGATAAGGAGACGGGACAAAAGGTATGTGACGAGACTTCTCATTGCCTTTCAATTATTGTTAACATGTTTCTGTTGCAGTGTAGTGAGCATAAATTAAGGATATAACTTTGTTTGAGACTTATTATGTTTTTAGATATAAAATGCTTAGGTTCCTGGTATTGTCTTTGCACGAGGACCAGCTGTTGCAGTGCTAATCATTTTGGAGTCGGAGGGTGAGAATTATGCTGTGCTCACGGAGCAGGTAATTTTTCCATGTCGCTATCTCTATTTACTATTGATATATCCTTGCAGGATATCCGTTTTCCATTTCTTTTTTCTCGAATAGCTGTTAGCTTATGATATTTATAAACTCTAAATTGAGTTCAAATGTGTAAAAGGTCAGGGTCCCTGTTGGGAGGCTTATATTGGAATTGCCAGCCGGGATGTTAGATGATGACAATGGTGACTTTGCGGGAACAGCAGTTCGAGAGGTCTCTCTCTCTCTCTCTCGTGCACACATGAAACACACACACAGAGATATATGCATCTTATATATATAATATATATAAATATCTGGCAGGTTGAAGAAGAGACCGGAATACATTTAAATGCGCAAGACATGATTGACCTTACAGCGCTTCTGGACCCTTCTACTGGCTGCAGAGTCTTCCCTTCTCCTGTATGCGTTTCCCTTTTCCAAAAATCGTTTGTTTCTTATGGTTTTTGACATCTCACATATGAGAAGAGAAATCATAGTACTTTATGGCTTTGAATCTGTAGATTACTCCATCTTTATTCTCCTTAAAAATTGTGTTTTTATTATGGTTTTTTCATGCTAGGGAGGCTGTGACGAGGAGATTAGTCTGTTTCTGTACAGAGGGAATGTGAGTATAGAGAAAATTAGACAGCTACAAGGGAAAGAAACAGGTCTTCGAGATCATGGCGAGCTAATTAAGGTTCATGTAGTTCCATATGAGAAGCTTTGGCGCTCTACAGCTGATGCAAAAACGCTAACTGCTATTGCCCTTTATGAGATGGCCAAAAGGGACGGTCTGCTGCCATCTTCGAGAACCTGAATGATTCCTCGTTTATGCATCGTAGACCTAATGTTGGTCATAGGAATCTAGTTATTACCATTACAATTAATAAAAGAACAGTTTCATTTATGTGGATGTGTTGAATCTCGTAAATCTTGTCTTCTTTACTTTCTGGGTTTGTGTTCAAGCTTGCAAATGTATGACAAATCCAACAGAAATCAAGAAACTATACACATTTAGATTTTGGCATTTGCTTCCCAGATAGTAACTCCATCACAGGTGCAGAGTTTCTTGTAGTTCTCACCAACTCCAGCACTTCTAGCTATCACTGCTGCTTTAATGCCTCGATCTGATTTATCTTCGGTTTCATACACAACTATTGCTCGCCCGATGAGATCCACGATTCTTAGCTTTTCTTTAACTCCAGAAAAGAATGCTTCACCTTTTTCATCGACATCTAGTGTTCCCAGGTCGCCAAGTGGCTGAAATAGTGAAATATCAATAAGCATTAACCAATGGACTTGCAGCATTTGAACATAAAACTTTGCCAATGTTTCATTCCAAAGAGTCTCGGGATGGAAAGGGCACCTGGTTTTCAGTCTCGGGAGTTGGATTGTACACGTTGCCAGTGCTGGCTGCGCCTCGTGTCAGATCGCCATATTGATTGATTGACCAACCGTGCCTTCCAGGTGAGAGTCCAGTGAAGTTAGCTTCGATTCTAGCCATCTCCATAGTCACCTGGGCAAAACGAACGACTCCAAAAATATCTGGTCCTTTGAATTCAGCTACGGCAGCAGAAATAAGAAAATCTGCTCAACATCGTCAAAGATCATAAGGTGATGATGACGCGAAGCAGATAATAGAGGAACGAGAAAAAGTGTTTTACTAAACAAATAAAAACAGGTTAAGGTTAAGGTTAAGGTTTGCAAACCTTCTGGAACTCCTTGTCCAATCAGTCGAGCCTTTCGACCAGTTTGCTCCAAAGCTTCAGTTAAAGTCTTCACAGGCAACGACCCAAGAACTTTCACAACTTGATTACTCAGATCCACATCCACATTCTTCACCCCTGAAACAGAAAGCCGACCAAAAATGAATTTACTGCAATAAAAAATTCTGAACAAGAATATCACTCACCTTCAATTGCCTGCAATTTACTCTTGACAGACTTAACACAGCCTTCACAAGACATTTCCACCATAAACTCTGTCTGTCATCAACAAATCATCAAATTAAGAATCCTAAAATCAACAAAGCAATACCCTAAAACATAACCTGAACATCCTTTATACTAACCTTAAAATGAAAAGCTTCATACAGTATCTAAAGAAGATACATAGTATTACATATGTACATGTGCAATAACATTGCAAAATACTCCAAGAATAACAAAAACAACTTAGGCAAAACAATGTCTTAATGTACTGAATATGGGTTGTTTACAAGAAATGCAGTCAAATTTGATCTAGTCTTCTGCATTATGCTTCAAAGGCGACAAATCATCACATTTATAACTAAAGGCCTGTAAAGATTTGTTTTTTACTATAAATTTACCTCCTCTTTCAATATATACAGATTTTTCAAGTAAACCATTACGGATTATACTTACCAGCAATTCCGGCAAGGCGGCGCCGTCCTACAAATGGAAAAAAAAAAAAAAAAAAACAAAGAAATAAATAATATAAAAATCAGATTTTTGGTGGAAGAGAAGTATTAGGCAGGGAGTAGTAAAAATCACAGTACCTGAAGGGAGGATAAGTGTTGATCGGAAGAAGGCGCCTCCATCTGAACAGCCGAAGGAGGGTGGTAGGATTTCGCAAAAGCAAGTCCGGCGGGTCTGAGAATTGGGTTGGAACAAGAAACCGACCAGAAACTGGGGTTCTTGGAGAGACGCAGAGAGTAAGTAGATGGCTTGGAAGAAGAGGAAGAAGAAGCTGCAATGGCAGCTGCCGTTGGTATCGCTGCTATTATCGCAGTTGTTTTTGCAGTCGCCACTGACCTCAAAAATGACATTTTTTTTTTGGGGGGGTTCAGCTGAAGGCTTCTGGATTCATCGGATGCCGCTAAGCGGGTAGTTTATTCGTTTTTCAGTTAAAATGTTCGAGTGTGAATCGGGGCAACTTTTGTGGGCTATTATTGGGCTTCACTGTGGGCCGTTTCTCCAGTCATTTATATTAATGGGATTATGTTTGTGATTAAGTTGCTTGCTAAACGGTGATGGGCAAATTATGCCCTGGACACGGGCCCAAAACGACATCGTTTTTTAAAAAAAACGCGTCATTTAGTTAAAAAAAAAAAATTTTGCGCGCGTTTTGCCGTTAATGGTGTTATTTTTTTTTTTTGATTATGAATGTACAGTTATGCCGTTATGAATGTACAGTTATGCAATTATGAAATTATGAACACAGAGCTCTAACATTATGAACTTACAATTATGAACATATATAGTGATAAAATTATGACCATGGAGCTTTAAAATTGTGAATATAGAGCTTCGAAGATTATGAATGTACAGTTATAGAGTTATGAATCTACAGTTATGGAGTTATGAATCTACAGTTATGAGATTATGAATCTACAGTTATGGAATTATGAATGTACAGTTATTGATCGAATTATGAACAAAGAGCTCTAACATTATGAACTTACAATTATGAACATATAGTGATAAAATTATGAACATAGAGCTCTAAAATTGTGAACATAGAGCTTCGAAAATTATGAATGTACAATTATGGAGTTATGAATGTACAGTTATGACGTTATGAATGTACAGTTATAGAGTTATGAATGTACAGTTATAGAGTTATGAACGTATAGTTATGGAGTTATGAATGTATAGTTATTAACATATAGTAATAAAATTATGAACATATACTTCTATAACAAAGTGATCTGAAATTTTTTAAAAAAAAAACAAAGGAGATAACAGTGCCTAACGGCACTGTTACCCGTGTCCAGCAAGCATGCTGGACACGGGTCCAAGGTATAACGATTGACGGTGATGTTCAATTTGAACTATCATTATTCCATAAACCATGGTCCCCACATTTTTACACACTATAAATAAAAAATACATTTTTAATATACTAAAAGTACATTATTTATATATATGAGTCTCCTATTCCCGTTTAGCGTGAAAAAGGGTATGAACTATTGGTGTTGGTAACAATCCATAAGAATTCCCCTCATGGCCTTCAACAGATTTTCCTTTGACATGCGATTGTAGTTGATTGATCTGTTGATGTACTGTGTCGATTGCTAGTGCCTGTGAAACATATTTTCCTTGTAAGGTTTGAATTTGGACGGTGAGGATATCAACCTGTTGCTTTACTGTTTGTTGGAGTGCAGCTAACAAAACTTCATTAGCGGGATTATCTTGGTTGGTAGACATGTATGGAAAAGTGAGAACGAACCAATGAAAGCAACAATTGATACGTTGTGTATCAGTTTTGGACACTACTTCGAACGAGTGCAGGCTCCAAGAATGAAGAAAATGAGAAAGTACAGAAAGAAAAATGAGAAGGGAACTAACAGAAGGTGGAAGAAGAGATAATTCTTATTGTCTGCTCAATGCTTTAACCCGTCATAGCTCTTATACAAATATTCTACCAAAGACGTAAACTGCATAAACAAGGTAAACAAATATTCTTTAACTTCATGAATTATTCTCATGCCTTTCTTATTTGTAAACAAAATTATTGTCCTTCTATTCATGACTCAGTTTCTTGATCCGAATAGAACGTGGTAACCCATTTGTCGTTAACTCATCCCGTGGATCTGGTGTATCATATTCATTTCTCTTTTTTTTTTTTTTTTTTAAAAAAAATCTTTTTATTTTCTTATTTATTATTAATCGTTTTGTTTCTCAATTCTCATTTCTATACTTAATAATTGATTTATTGTTTAAGTAGTACTCTAATCATTTAATGAATGTGGACAAAAGGCACACAAAAACAAAAAAAACAAAAAAACAAAAAAACAAAAAAAAAAAACAAAAAAATAGAGATAAGGAGAAAAGAAAAGACCAAAAAGCATAAAATAATTTGGGATAAACAATTACAAATAATACATTCAAACTTTAAAGACACATATAACATCTATTATCAACCATTCATCACACAACATCACAACACTTCATCATTTTATTTACAAACATAGGGATCGCTACATTTCTGGATGATCTGCACAACTTTTCTGTCAAAATACCAATCTCCAAAAAAATTTGCCATTGTCTGTTAAAAAAAAAGAAGAAGAAGAAGAAAGAAACAACAACAAATATTAGTTGACACTATAAAAGAATTTGCCATTTTCATCACATTAACATCATTTATTTATTTTATTCATTTTATTTATGAAGTTCGAACTTGTACTAATAGATATTGTATTTATTGTTAATTATAATAAAATTAATGTATTTTCATGTGTACCTTGTTAGTCCCAGCCGCAGGTTCATACCAATGAGAATATAGTGCATGGCCATGGGCATAGGTAGATAAGATCAAGAATCCTCTCGATGATCGATTGTCTTGTTCTGGCAATATATTCAACAACTCCAATCGTAAATCTGAAATAACACAACAAATTAAATGTAAAAATTCATTTTTTTTAATAAATAAACGAAGTTTTGTGTAATGCAAAATGAAATATTTTTAAAGTAAATTTTGGTTGCAATTACGGAAAATAATTGTAATGATTATAATGCAACGCTAACCTTGCATAACATTAATTTGATCAGATGTGCAAGTTTTGTATTTCATGCAATCATCGTATGATTTGTCAGTTGTAAACGCAATCTGAATTAGATAATAGTATATACAATAAGCCTTAACAATATTTGGAAATAAATATAACATTCAATATGTAAATTATGAACATTCAGTATGTAAATTGTGTATTTTAGAGCGGGTCCATGGTATAACTATTTCATGCGAAGTATTATTTTTTAAATTCAATAAATGATATATAAAAAAGACAAATTAAAATTAAAACCTCAACAGAATCAAATTCCGACATGATGAAGAAAATTGGAGTTTTAATATCATGTTGTACATTTTGTGCGAAATAGCACTGCAAAAACCAAATATATAAGTTATAAGCAATTATATAGAATTATATATATAATCAATTTATCATATAATGTGTATAATGGATTCTAGTCGGTGATATAATTTGCAGCTTAATTACCATTGTAGGAGTGAATTTGGAGGTGCAAGATTTGGGCAACATCTTAGTTGGTCTCTAATCCACACAAACACACCCGTTAATTAATAATAATTTAACTTAAATATTATATTAAAGAGTGTGTAAGGCTATACATGTAAATTCACCACTCCTTCGAAAATGGACACAAAGAGACTTTTACTCCAAAAGTTGTGCTTTTTTCTAGATAAAATTTTTACAATCATAACAAAACTTAAATCGGTAAGTAAAATGATAAATCTAAAATAAATTAATTTAAAATAGTACAAAAGTAAAAATTAAACTTACGCAGCAAAAAAATATCCAGCATCTGAAAGACATTTGACATGAGTGGAGTTTGAAAATTTTTGTCGAAAACTGTCACAATGCAACATGGCAGCCACTCCTCCTGCTGATTCCCCAACTAAAAGAGCCTACAATTTTATAAATATTACAAACCGAGGATAATATAATTAATAATGTGTTTCCTTAATTAAAAAAATAAATAAAAATAGTTAAGTAAAGAATTGTAGTGTAATTAAATTATCAAAAATGAAATTCGTACATTCTTTGCGGACTTCATTCCCTTTTTCAACAGCACTTTCAAAGTGGATTCAAAAATCCTAGCTCCTTTAAAATACAGTTTAGTACCCTACATATTAATGTAAACAAAAAATTGATAAGAAATAATATATTTTAATCCAATCAAAAAAGTATAAAATTTCAATTTACTTACATTATATATTTTCTTTGAGTTCCCAGTAAAAGACGAACCATCACAATACCTTATCATTACTTTATTCCAATTGAAAAAATCTAAGACATTTATGTGTTAGTTATATATAAATAAAAATGAAGTATAACTAACTAATTGAAAATATATACAAATATATAAAATTGCAACCTGGATTTTGGGTCTTGTCGTTGCTCAATATACCAGTAAAATTTTGAAGGCCGGCAGTTTGGTTATACAAATTTGTTTTTATATAGTTCACACATTCATCCAAAGTATAACACCACCCTCCACCCTAAAATCATATCATCCAAATTACATACATTTACTTAAGTATTATTATTGTTGTATAAAATATATATATATATATATATATATATATATATATAAATATATAAATATAAATAATATGTGAATTTACTTATTTACCGGAAGGAAAACCACCCAATTGTCAACCCCTTCATCAAATCCCGGAGCAATGTAGTACGCTGCTGGGATCCCAGACAAGCACACTACATGTGTGTATACCAAGTTAGAATATATAAACATTATTATATTTTTCAAAATAAAAATGAAATGACAAACTATATATATATATATATATATATATATATATATATATATATATATATATATATATAGGGGTGACCACGGACCACGGTTCCGGTTCCGGTTCGGAACCGCCGGTTCTGGTTCCGTGGATGGCGAAACCGAAACCGGAACCTTATAGTAAGGTTCCGGTTCCGGTTCAGAACCGGCAGTTCCGGTTAGAACCGGCGGTTCTAACCGGAATTATTTAAAAAAAAATTAAAAATAACACTATAATATTTATTTTTTTTTGGTTTGGCGGTTCCAAGATTTTACAAACCTTAACTGGTTAAGAACCGGAACCGGAACCGTACGGACGGTTCCGGTTTGCACAGTCACGATTCCGGTTCAAACCTACGGTTCGAACTGGAACCGTGGTCCTCTCTCTCTCTCTATCTATATATATATATATATATATATATGATCTATCTCTTACATACCGGCTCCCTTGTGACGAAGCTCAGTAGGATTCACCGTAATATCTTGGGCGTCAGCGCTGAACTTAGAGCATAAAAGTAGTAGGGATAGCAGAACCAACGGCCTTGACACAAAATCCATAATTACAACTTAGAAGGAATCAAGAAGAAGAGGTAGAGAGTTGAGTGAAGGAATTAAGCTAGCTAGGTCAATGTAGTTGTAAGAGGTAGAGAGGGAGTAAGTGAAAGCAATTGGCCGGGAAGTATATATATATATATATATATATATATATATATATAATAACAAAAGTGTTTGGCCAATTTTTCTCGCTCAAACTTAGCATCATTTTAATAAAACTAGTAATTCACTCGCGTGATGCACGGGAAAAAATTATGTTATTATAAATATAAATAAAAAATAAAAAAACTAAAATATTTTAAATTATTTAATATAATAATATTTTTGAGTTTCTATTGGTCAAGTATTTATTATTTTTATAGAATACAAAATTACAATTAAAATTAAAATTAAAATTTTGTATGATTAATATAAATCTCTAATTATGTGCATATTCAAATAAATTTATAGAGAGAATTTACATAACTACATTGATTTATTCTTAATTGTATTTCATCTATATTATAATTTTCACAATACGAATAATAACTAAGATAATTACATTTGGAAAGCAAATTTCAAATTTTGTAGGTGTAAATTTAAACTCTAATTGAACACATTTTTTATATGATTATACAATATATAGCTATTTTATTTTTCAAAAGTATATTTTTTATATGATTATATAATATATATCTATTTTATTTTTTAAATGTTGTGCTTTTTTTTTTTTTAATAGTAAAGGATGTTGTTGCATTAATTGTAACATTAAATATTTCTCAAACCATATAGCTTTATTATATAAAGGATTATTGATCTCATTAATTATTACCTATCAAAAATCAAACCGCTACAATCCGGAAAATGATTAAAAATTTGAGTATTAATTGCCATAATGTCCTTTTCACTTTTCATGTAATAGGAATTTCTTCTCTTAAATGTAATTCCATAATGGATTTTCTTTGTTATAATTTGTATAATATGGACAATATATTTTATTTTATTTTCGTTTTGGCATATAGAAAAAAGAAATCACTATAATTCAAAGATTAAATTAATCCATCAATATTTTCAGTAATATAGTATTACTTATTATTATTTATTTTCTATTATTTGTGTGGGAATGCAATAAAGGAGGATTTTGTTTTTAATAATAATATACAATATAGATTATTATTCCCTAATTGACTAATTATTATTATTCCTTAATAAGTATTACCGATTATTATAGAAAATGAAACAGAGAAAGATCCCTAATTGACTGAAAATGGAAAAGGAAAATATTATTGATTATTTTTTTTAATAAGTATTACTGATTATTATTCCTTTCTATTGCATAATTATTATTATTCCTTAATAAGTATTATTATTCCCGGCCTAATTGAATGATTATTATTATTCCTTAATAAGTATTACTGATTATTATATAAAAGGAAACGGAAATTACTTAATAAGTATTACTTATTATTATTTATTTTCTATTGTTTGGACAGAAGTGTTTGGGCGGGGAGGCAATAAAGTATGATTTTATTTTTAATAATAGTATAGAATATAGATTATTATTTCCTAATTGATTGATTATTATTATTCTTTAATAAGTATTACGGATTATTATAGAAAATGAAACGGAGAAAAATCCTAATTGACTGAAAAGGGAAATGGAAAAAATTATTGATTTATTCTTTTAATAAGTATTACTGATTATTAATCATTTTCTATTGAGTGATAATTATTATTCTCTAATTGGAATTATTATTATTCCTTAATAAGTATCACTAATTATTATATAAAATTAGGAAACAGAAATTACTTAATAAGTATTACTTATTATTATTTCTTTTCTATTATTTGGGCGGAAGTGTTTGGGCGAGAATGCAATAAATGATGATTTTGTTTTTAATAATAGTATAGATATAGATTATTATTTCCTAATTGAATGATTATTATTATTTCTTAATAAGTATTACCGATTATTATAGAAAATAAAATGGAGAATGATCTCTAATTGACTGAAAATGGTAAATAAAAATATTACTGATTGTTATTCCTTAATAAGTATTACTGATTATTATTCCTTTTCTTTTTTGAATGATACTGACTTTATTACAATGTAGTATCCACCTCCACTAAGGCTCGAACTTACAACCTTTCAAATGGAAGTCCAACCCGGGTATCATTAAACCACATAGAAACATAATAATTCCCAATCAAAGTTATATCGTCCCTAATTTATGTCCACATGGTTGCAGTAGTAGCTAGTCGGGTGCCCGGGCAGCGCCTAGCGCCTAGGCGGGCACCAAAAAAATAGTGGGAGACTTGCAATTTGACAATTTTAATGAGGCTATTTTCAACATTCAATCAAATAACATACCCAAAATAAATGAAATAATGATAATTTATAAGTCATAACATCAAAATAATATTAAAAAATAAAAATACTCAAATATAAAATCATCCAAAGATTCAAAGTATCAAACTAGTCTACGAACAGTTGGACCAGACAATATTGGACGAACCCTGTCAAAATCGGAAGAAATCAACCGAGTTGGCCGACTAGACCGATTTCGCCACCTAGGCGCCTGGCCGATTTTTGGGCGCCTGATAGTGAAAGCGGAACAACCTAGGAGCGCCTCTCTAAATGAAAAATTTGTGATACCATAAGCTGAAATTACAAACAACTCAAATACAAATTATCAAGTTCGAATGAGCAAAAACTCTTGAGAAAAAAAAAAAATGAAAGGCATTTGCAAAATAAAAGATACTATCATGTTCCTCTCATAATAAAATTTTGGTCAAAGAAAACATTAAGGCTCTGTTTGGCAACGCTAAGCTAGGAGCTTATAGCTTATTTTAAGCTACTAATAAGCTATAAGCTCTGTTTGGTAATGTTCCCAAAATAAGCTCCTAGCTTAAAATAAGAGCTTATTTTGGAACGCTACTTTAGATAGCGTTTCAAAATAAGCTCCTAGCTTCCTAACTTTTTTTCCATCTTTACCCTTATTATTTTAAAGTAATGACATATTTTAACCTTATGAATTAAAACCCTTTCTCTTCCCCTATCTCAACTTTCACGTCAATCCCTTCCTTAGTCATGTTTCCTGCTAAACAATTATGTTGAAACTTTAGCTTATTATTATTATTATTATTATTATTATTATTATTATTATTATTAAATTAGCAATATGGCTTCATTCTCAAATTGAACAAGAGCCGCCAACGAAAATTTAAGTCACACCTCTAATATCTCAAATTCAAGTAGTAATATCTCCATCAACGAAAATTTAAGTCACACTTCTATGGAGATGAAGGAGATTCGCAACAATATTGCTACTTCATTATGGGATGCTAGATCATGATCATGCTAATAGTTTTATTTTAAAAAGTGTTTACTTTTTTTGGAAGACGAAATGTTAAATTTTAATATGTAAACAAACTAATTTAAAGTTTATGAAGATGTCCTTTTTAGTCTTTTTACATTTATCAGCTTATCAAAAAGCTAATTTTACCAAACACTTTCAATCATAACAGCTAGCTTAACAGCTCTTCAATTTTCAGCTCCGAGCTTATAGCTTTTCAGCTTTCAGCTCCTTTTCAGCTATCAGCTCCTAGCTTATAGCTTTTCAGCTAGGTTTGCCAAACAGAGCCTAAATGTACAGATTCAGAATCCATCTGTAACTAACAATTAAACAGGCAGGGTGAAAGGCCATAAGCTACTTATAATTCAGTAATCTCATGACCATAATACAAATAATAAATGGATGCACGAAAAAAATGAAAAAAAAAAAAAAAAAAAAAAGAGGATGTTATGCATCATTTTCTCTCTCCAAATTTAGAGTGTTGAAGCTGCTTAGGAGAATTGAAGAAGAATGAAGGGGCGGTATTGCATTTTCTCTCTCCACATTCTAGGTGTTGAAACTATGAAGGAAAATTGGAGAAGAATAAAGGGTATTTAGCATTTTCTCTCTCTAAATTCTGGGTGTTGAAGCTATGGAGGCAAGTTGGGGAATAATGAAGGTATTGCATTTTCTCTCTCCAAATAGAAGAAAAATTGGGGAAGAATGAAGGGTATTTAACATTTTCTCTCCCCAAATTTTGGGTGTTGAAGCCGTGGAGGAGAATTAGGGAAGAATAAACTCAATGAAGAGTATTTGGTTTCATTCTGCTGATGAACATTTAAATTTTTAGATTTGACGATATTAACTTTAGATTTAACATCCATTTAATAGAAATGATAGGGGATGACTATTTGTGGTCAAAAATGAAAGTTTAGGTATGTTTTTGGTCGAATTGAAAGTGGAAAACTAAAATGAGTATTACCCCTATAGTCATATGAACATTTGTGGTATTAACTCTGAATATAACTATTAACTAAGTGAGTAAAATTTGATGGAGAGTGGACATAGTAAATCTCATATATCTCCTTCAAGACTTCAATTCAGGTAGGCAGATTTTCAGAATTAGAGTTGAACCGAGGTTCCTTTAGGTCACATCAACCAATCGCCCAATGTAAATACTTTAGTTTAAATACACACAACTTAATGTTGTCGCTTAGGTTAATTAGTATCATCACTGGCGATACTTACAACGTTATGGTTTCCTCAAAATTTCATCCTATTGTCAGCCGGCTGTCTGTAAGCCAATATAATGCCAAACATATATAAAGCCGGCAGGATAGATACCATGGCCGGAATCTTTCACTTCAATTCGATCAATACAGCTCTATATAATATATACGTTATTCTTTCGGTTTCCGATCATCCAAAATTCAACATTGTTTAGTGTTTTTAGCCATGAAGGGCACAAACATGGCGACGTTGTCGTCGATTCTTTGTATAGCCTTTGTCTCCATCTTTCATTCAACCATTGCAGAAAACAATGGCGGCATGGATATTTATATTGTTCATGTAAGCAAAGCTGTTGCCCAGAATAGTGATGCTGAGCCAGAAGATCTGGAAACCTATTACCGATCGTTTCTGCCGGAAACTAACACGGCGGCAAGTCTCGAGGATTCTCCGAGCATAGTTTACTCGTATCGCCATGTAGCTTCTGGTTTTGCAGCGAAATTGTCGGTAGAAATGGTGGAAGAACTGAGCAAGAAAGATGGGTTTGTCTCGGCGAGGCGTCAGAAGGTTTACAGTTTGCATACAACTCACACTCCAAACTTCTTGGGGCTTTACCAGAATTATGGGTTTTGGCCGGAATCAAACTTTGGGAAGGGGGTGATCATCGGAATGTTGGACACGGGGATCACCCCTGATCATCCATCTTTCAATGATGAAGGTATTATTAAATATAAATATATATCCATATAAGTCAGGGTGATTCAATGGTCCAGTAGACAGAATCAAATGTTACTGTACACAAAGGATCTGTCCACTTTAAACATAATATTTAAACTGTCGCCAAATTAGAACTTTGGTCTCTTCAAATACTGCCTACTCTGAACCATTAAGTTAAGCGGGCATTCCAACCAGTTAATTAATATATAATATATTGTAGTAATGGAAAATTCTTACAGGTATGCCGGCGCCGCCGGCGAAATGGAAGGGGAAATGCGAGTTGAATGGTACTACGTGTAACAGAAAGCTGATTGGTGCGAGGAATTTCGTGAGGGAAGAGGCGTCTGAGCCTCCGATTGATGCAGAAGGCCATGGAACTCACACGGCCAGCACGGCCGCCGGAAACTTTGTGAAGGGTGCGGCAGTCTATGATAACGCTAAGGGCACGGCGGCGGGAATGGCGCCGCTTGCTCACTTAGCAATCTACAAGGTATGCACGGACGACTGTGACGAATCCGACATTCTGGCAGCCATGGACGCCGCCGTCGAAGACGGCGTTGATGTCCTCTCCCTGTCCCTCGGAGGAGAATCCTCCGACTTCTACGACGACAGCACGGCGCTGGGCGCGTTTTCCGCGATGCAGAAGGGCATTTTCGTCAGTTGCTCAGCCGGAAACTCCGGCCCGGATAACACCAGCCTGTCAAATGAAGCTCCCTGGATTCTCACCGTCGGCGCCGCTTCCATCGACAGAACGTTAAGGGCCACGGCCGTGCTGGGAAACGGCCAAGAATTTGAAGGCCAATCCGCTTTCCAAATCCATGGCTTCCCCTCCAGACAACTGCCATTAATATACCCTGGATTACAAGACGAAGATGCCGGATATTGCGGAGAAGGAACATTAAACAACACAGACGTACGAGGAAAAGTTGTCCTATGCGACAAGAACGGCGGCGTCCGCAGAATCGACAAGGGCGCAACCGTGAAAGCGGCAGGCGGCGCCGCCATGATTATTGTCAACGAGGAAGAAGATGGATACACTATCATAGCCGACACTCATGTTCTCCCGGCGACAGAACTGAACTACATCGACGGAGTAAAAATCAAAACTTACATAAATTCCTCGTCTTCCCCGACAGCAACGGTCGTGTTCAAAGGAACATCGATCGGAGTTAAGAACGCACCGGCGGTGTCATCTTTCTCCTCCCGAGGGCCAAGCTACGCGAGCCCTGGGATTCTGAAACCCGACATTATCGGCCCCGGAGTAAACATCCTCGCCGCCTGGCCATTCTCCGTCGAAAACATAACGAACACGAAATCCACATTCAACATCATCTCCGGCACCTCAATGTCGTGCCCTCACCTTAGCGGCATCGCCGCCTTGCTGAAAAGCGCGCACCCTGATTGGTCTCCGGCCGCCATTAAATCCGCCATCATGACCACAGCCGATCAGGCGAACTTGGAAGGCGGAGACATTGTCGACGAGAGATTACTTCCGGCGGACGCTTTCGCCATCGGCGCCGGCCATGTGAATCCGGCGAGAGCGAGTAATCCAGGGCTGGTCTACGACATTCATCCTGACGATTACATTCCATATTTATGTGGCCTGAACTACACAGACAGAGAAATGGGACAAATTCTGCAGTATAAATTCAAGTGCTCTGAGGTTTCAAGCATCCCTGAAGCCCAACTCAATTATCCTTCGTTTTCCATTAAACTTGGAACGGCTTCTCAGACATATACAAGAACAGTGAAGAATGTTGGAGAGGCGAACTCCAGTTACAGTCTGAGGATTGAAAATGTTGCCGGAGTTGATATTGTGGTCGAGCCTGAAACAATGGTGTTTACTGCAACAAACCAAGAAACATCATATAAAGTAAGGTTTAGCCGGTCGTCTGGAGAAATCAATAATGTCCCTTTTGTTCAAGGAGCTATTTCCTGGGTTTCTGCCAACAACGTTGTTAGGAGTCCTGTGGTAGTCATGTTCGAATGAAGGAGAAGGAAAGCTACTGTGGAAGGCCTGGAAATGGCTGTGTTCGTAACATTTTTCCTTCTTTTACTTGCATGAAATTTTATATGTTTCTAAAATTTCAAATGTATCAGTGATGAAATAAGAACCCAATATGGCATGGGCTAGGTATTGCCCAACCCAACAATGTTGGGCCTGTTGGCAAATTAAATTATGTTGGTATTACAGATAACTGTTCATTTTTAATAGGTTGAAGGTGTAAATTGTGAACATAATATATAAATGGTGTATTTTGACCTGGGTCCATGACATAATTGTCGGTCTGTCACTAGGGGCTCGCATTTGGGCCAGTCTCATTCCATGCTAGACATGGAAGGCCATAATTATTAAAGAATTTAAAAAATTAGTTTTTTTTTTTTTAATTAGCAATAAACCTTATATTTATATTTAACTTAACTTCAAATAATGATACAATATAATGATTGGGACAAGTATATTACATGAATTCTAGCTATAAGCTAAGGCTTTTAATTTTCCAATTTATTGTCTTTGCACTTCTCTTCCATTCCCTACCCAAAAAAAAAAACCCTAGCTATGAAGATAATGCAACTTTTAAAAAATAGTAATAGTAATAATACTACTAATAATAATTAATCAACCACAACAACATTAATTAATATTTCTAAATTAAAAACCCCCATGATTATATACTAATATAACACGGACAGCTTCCGCTCCAGCTGAGTTGGATCAATGCTTCCCCCTCCAATAACCTGCAATTTTATATATATAAAAAATAAAAAACAAATTTGATACTATAGACACATTTAACTCTTATACGGGTACAAGCCAAAAGTATTTTAGGAAAGACTTTGGGTTTATACCAAATTGTGCGTCTCTACAGTACTTATACAAACTCAAAATATTTCTTATTCACCTTAGAACTTTCTTTTATATATTTATGAGAACTTTTAAGGTATTGATCAATACTAATGTCGTTATTTTGAATCAGATCTAAACATATATACTTTTGGATTATATTTGGTATTGATAGTTAAGTTAAAAATATCGGGTATAATCTAAAAGTGGGTCAAGTTCTGTGAACCGTGCAGTCCGTGTGGATTGCATTTCGTGACATTTCATTATGGTACATTTTTTTAACACTATGTAGTACATTTATGCCTAATGATGCAATCCATACCGGAACCAAAATCATCTAAACGTATACATATATAGTTATATTTGATATAAAATGCTTTTCCAATTATAATATTGTATTACATGCGTTACATATATACATACCTCAGCCTCAATAGTTTGAAGCAGCCTATCATTGACTTTAATGGAACAGCAGTTGTTAATGGACAGCCCATCTCCGACAAGCACCTTAAGAATCTTCGACAGGGACACGCCGCCGCCACCTTTGATTTTCTGGGCGGCAACGTTAACGGTGACCTCCACTCCCGCCCTGCAAGGCTTCACCGTTACTCTGCTCTGTTCGTCATTGCATTCATCCCGACCCTTGATCAGGCTCGATGATGACGCTACTGCTGCCGGACGGAGTAGCGAATTTGACGATGAATCTGCCGGCGGCTCCGTTACCCCTTTCAGTTCATCTCTCTTCGCGCTCAGCTTCTCCACCCTCTTCCTCAGATCTTTCACGTACCTCACCGTCTCCTGCAGACGGTCCGACGTCGAACGCTTTCCCTGAGCGTAAAAAAAACTAGCTAATAAGATATTGTTATATATAAAACTCATAATTTCAACAATTTTGATGTATTAATGTATTATTTTTTGTTAAGATTATGATATTTGAATAGGAAATTATATATCATTACTATTGTTACATTATCTCTTGAATCTCAAGGCCTAAACTTAGTATAAACTTGAATATTTCTTACCCAAACTCTATTCTGCGGCAATGGTCCATGCAGTGCTATATTTGAACCATAACAAAAAGTATATTTTTAATATACTAAAAGTATATTATTTGTATATTGAATATATATTATACAAAATAATGTACTTTTCGAACTCAAATAATGTAATTTTCTTGAATACAATGTACATTTTTAATATACTAAAATTACATTATTTATGTACTGAATATACATTATTTGATAGTATTATCAACACAGTAATGATTGCTATTCTAGCTGTGTTTGGTAGAGTTTATGTTAGAGCTTATAAATTATTTTAAACTACAAATAGGCTATGAGATGTTTTATACTACCTTAAGTAATGTTTCAAAATATGCCAGTAACTACTAACTACTAACTTTTAAACTTTCAGTTTTAAGGTAGCTTATAAGCTAGACATGTCAATTAAAGTCTTTTTAAACTACAAGCTTAAATTGATAATTAAACGATGGCCCTGTTTGGTAAAAAATTGGCCTATAGGTCAATATTGGCTTATTTGACTACTATTACTTGTTTGATTTAGTTAAAATATCAATACAAGTGTTTGGTTAATTAGCTTTTTGCAACTTCAAAATGCTAAAATTCAAAAAGCTGCTCCAAGCAACTTTTTCAAAAAAGAAATTATATCAAACAGCTATAAGCTAACAACTAGTTTACCAAACATTTTTCTGCAACAGCTAATGTTATCAACTAGTTATATCTTCTAATTAACACAATTAGCTAACAGCTAACAGCTAACAGCCATTTACTAAAAGAGCCTATATATTTATATTATAAAGTTTACTATATGAATTTTCAATCTCTATTCTCACAATTTTACTCCATGATGTTATAAAACTTTGAAGTTGGCAGTATTTTCCTATACTATATGCGTCGACACAACTCAACAAATACAACACGTGCATGATGATGATCGCTTAAGAATTAGACGTGCGTTCAGTCATTGGTTGTCTACTTGTCTGGATGATGATGGTTATAGTATAAATTTTTTGTCCTGCCGTACAAACGTGTAGCATCTTAAGCTGTCATCTGCTATCGTCTTGTTTCAATAATTCTGGGAACAGTTTTCCTTGGAACCTTCATATTTTTCTCCATCTTGAATGCTTCATTTCTGCATGCTATTTATTAATTTATTCTCATTTTTAAATTACATATATATTATAGACATGATCACATAATAAAGTAAGGATTAATTTCAGCCGTCTATAGAGTTCATCAATAGTTATTTTAGTAAAAAAAAAAAAGATCAAAGTTAATTTTATAATTATTGAGAACTTTCAATAGTGTAGTAGTTCGTTTTATAAATGTATAGAAGAGACATTATATTACTTACCTCATTTAAATGTATGGAGTACACATTTAAAGCTAGGGAATATTATGGTTAAGTGAATTATCATGGCTGGAAATTATGAAATTTCCGACCACCTGAAAGTGATCTTACGAAAGCCTTGTTCCGACCACTTTTGGTATTCGGAAAAACTTTTGTTGCTATTTCCGACCACTTTTTACTTTCAACTTGATTTAAGATCACTTCTAGGTGGTCGGAAATTCCATAATTTCCTACCGTGTATATTGAAGAATGTGTACTAGGGCTTAATATGTCCCCTCAGGTTTAAGGGTAACCATAAAATTCATTACAAGTTTCATTTTTGTATGAAGTGACTATTGAGGGTCAAAATGCGCGTCTCAGCCTATATTATCTCGAAATAAATGCATTGAAGATGCATTCTTGATCAATAATCTATCCAATTATATGTGTATAGTAACAAGAATAATGTGAATATATAGAAATGCATATAATGAATATCAGAAGTGTATATGTACTAACCTTAATATACTCATAAGGGATTAATCCAACCAGGCTTTTGTAAAGGCTACCCATCTCCTTCCTCCGTTGCCGTTCAACGTCCCGGCGTATAATCTTCCTCTGCTGGTGAGGAGGATTATTATTAGGGTTCTTCTGCTGCAGCTGCAGCTGCTGATGTTGTTGTTGTAGTATGACGTTGGGTTTCATGGTCGGGGCAACGTCGTACGCCACGTCACCCTTAAGAAGATCAAAAACCAGCAGAGGATTAGTGTTGTGGTCGGAAACCGGCGGTTTGGTTTGCTGCCGTGCAGAAATAATGGGAGAAAAGTGCAGCAGTCCATCCTGAAATGGAAATGTGGATGAAATTTGTTCCATACTCTTTTTAACAACACTGTACTAATTCTTCTTCTTCTTATTCTTCTTATTCTTATTTTCTTTTGAAGCCCCGTGGGGGATTATATATACATGCATGATAATTTATGGCAGTGACTCCATGGCAGTACAGAAAAAAAGAAAAGAATATGTAATCATCTTTCAACGTCAAACAATTTTGTATTGTTTAATTTCCAGAAAACAGTACGCGTTAAGTTAACAAAACAGTATTGTAAAACATAAGATTAGCTCGTTGTGGTTTGATCCACCATTGTTAAACAATTCTAAATGTTATCGTCGCCATGTGCGGACTTAAAATATTAGCAATGATTGATCAACCACTGAAGAAGAGAGCCCATGGTGCAATCGCTAAAACAATAATGTTGAAAGAGATGGTCGTACCATAGATATACTATATTTAAATATGTGTGTTGATTTATGGGTTTTTTTTTGGAGATATTCGAAATTTGGAACAGTTACCCTAATGGGCTAATTGCCAATTATCCATATATGAGTTTATTATTATTCTATAGTAACAACTAATTTCTCAATGTATTGGAGTACAAAAACACTGAGATTTGAACCAAAGATCTCTTATTTGAGAGTCCATAAGCTATGCCGCTAAACCATTAGGTATTTGGCTACTATTTATATTTTTTTTGTAGTGCATCGCTTAATTCTAATAAGTGATAGTATAGAAGTTCATGAATTTGTCCAATTAAGGCACCCAAGTGTTAGGAGGGGGAAAAATTGTGTCTTTACTACTAGCTATAATTTTTCAAGTCTCATCAACCGAATTAAACCTCCTTAACAAAATCAGATACATAAAATTCGAACCACTTATTAAAAGTCTCATTAATCAAACTCGACACATAAAATAAATCAAACATATGAATTATTTTTTAAGGGTTTCATAAAAATTAAATGGCATCTCCTATAATAATAAGAAGCCAGGCAGTAGACCTAGTGGATACTATCATGACCGGATTTTAGGACGTGCATGAAGGGCAATAGTACATGACCTCAATTTTTAGAGGGACTAATTTTATTTTTGACCTAGTTACTTCAGAAAAAAAAAAAAAAAAAACTACAATTAATCCTAAAACTCATTAGTTTTTTCCAAAATCACTTCACTCTCTTAATAATTAAAACCTAATTAATTGAGCATGACAAAATCAATCTGAAAAGAAGAGTCATATATTTTACGATATTGATTTTAAATATTACACTTATACTTTTAGTAGGACCTCATTTATTTATAAGAACGGGGCCACAAAATTTCAAAAACCGACCCAAGATACAATTTTACTTGTGGTCCAACTCAAAGTGGGCGTTTGTATCTTTATGTACCATAATAATATGTGTGTACTATATACATACATACATACATACATACATACATACATACATACATACATACATACATACATACATACATACATACATACATACATACATACATACATACATACATACATACATATATATATATATATATATATATATATATATATGCTAAGAATCTTGTGAGAACAGTACCATAGGAGAGATATAAGAACCAATTTTAGCCTTATGTTTATAAAAATTCGATGGATCTGATAAGAATAAAAAAAACACGGTGGTATTTTCGTAATTATTACCAATTTAATTATGCAAACATGAATACTTAAATATGCAATCTTTAACAACTAAATATGTAAACTAGGTAAATTTTATAAAATCAACAAAAAAAAAGTTAAATTTTAAATCTAAAGTGTAAATGCTAAACCTTAGGCAGTAAAAAAGTGAACCACTAAACCAAAATTGTAAGTGTAATTCACTTAGCTTTCACATTTTTTTCGAGTTCAATCTTTAATAATAAATATGCAAAATATTAATAATTTAATACTAAATGTGAAAAATAAAAAAAAATCTGAGAATTGCAGATTTTAGTATTCAAGTTTAATTTATATAATAAAGTTGGTTATAATTACAAAAATATCATTGTGTTTTAAAAAAAAAATAAAAACTTAATGTGATCCGTCCGATTTGTTCAGATGTAAGACTGAGATTGGTTCTTATTTTTCTCGTAATAACTTGTTCCATTTGATCCAATACCGACCTATATATATATATATATATATATATATATATATAAGAGCGCTTATATGTGGTCGTGTCATTAGGTGTGGCGGTGTGGTCGTATCTGTGTCGTTGAATCAGTTTAATCTAACGGCAGTGGCTAATTATGAGGATTCGAGGATTTTCGCGCGTGGGGGGTGTTATGGTAATTACAGTGACCATTTATAGCGGCCGGGTTCCAGAATACACCAACAGTGTTGACAACATGCACCAATAGTGTAATAAAATACACCACAGTGAAACACACCAATAGTGTATTCCCGAACATTGTATGGTGTATTTATTCATATGTAATATAATGGCGCGTTTTTGGTGATGCGTACCTAATTTGTGTATGTTCTTTGCTGTGCATTTCATAACATGGATTGTGTATATTTGTATAACAATTGGTGTGGTCGCACTGACCACACGGGAAGGCGTTGTCGCACCTGAACTTGACACCAATGGAAATCTACAAATACACCAGAGTTTAAGGCTAATAATGCACCAATTACACAAATAAAACATACAACAATGTGATTTCCCTTATTCCGGTGCCTTATGAAGAATTTACCCTTGCAATTCGCTGCGTAGGAGAATGTGCATGCGTGAAAATACTGGAAGAATCTTGATTAATGTGATTCGTTGGATCTATCTAACAACATGGCCACATGTGATCAGATCACCCCTATATATATATATATATATATATATATATATATATATATATATATATATATATATATATATATATATACACCATAGTCTTGATTTATACAAGAAAGAGGTGAACCATGTTTTTATGATTTCTTTCATATATAATTGATAACTACGTTAACCAATCTGTACTGCCCTTCCATAACATACTCGATATTATATATGCAATGGCAATATAGTAGTACTCAATTTTAATAAATAAATAAATAAAATCACCAACTTCAGTACTAACTAATTATGAATGCAGCATATAAATATGTATTATTTATATATTGCTTGTATGTATTGCTTTTAATTAATTAATGAATTAACTAATTAATTTATACTACTCTGTAAATTGAATATAATGCAGCATATAAATATCATATCAAAAATCTAATCAAGTCAAGTCTAAAGCTTAACTCTTTTTTTTTTTTTTTTTCTTTTTAACTCTGCTTGAGCTGCTACTATACAAATATACAATGCATATATTGGTTTTCTTCATGCATCATGCATGCTCATCTCCTCGCTATTAAAGCATCATTCTATTCGTAATATCCAAACATTAGAGCGAATATTATTTCATAAGGTTATATAAGTCGTTAAAAGGTCAGTGGAGATTTTAAAACTCACCTCAGGAATTAAGCTCCTAGTTTCATAACTTTTTTTTTCCATCTTTATCCTTATTATTTTAAAAAAATGACATAATTTATTCTTCCCAAATAAAACTCTTTTCTCTTCTCCTTTATCCGCAACTTTCACCCCAAATATTATTATTATTATTATTATTATTATTATTATTATTATTATTATTATTATTATGAGATTTGCAACAATATTGTTACTTCTGAGATGCTAGATCATGATTATGCTAATAGTTTTATTTTAAAATGTTAATTTTTTTTAAAGACAAAATGTTAAATTTTAATATGTAAACAAATTAATTTAAATTTTATGAAGATGTTCTTTTTAGTCTTTTTATATTTATCAGCTTATCAAAAAGCTAATTTTACCAAACACTTCCAATCATAACAGCTAGCTTAACCGCTCTTTAGTTTTCAGCTTCGAACTCATAGCTTTTCAGCTAGATTTGCCAAACAGAGTCATAGTCTGTAGCCCCTTTTCTCCCAATTTTTGGCTTCATCGATCTTCTTCAATAATAACCTCCATATTTATGACTTCTGAGAGGGTACTGTTGACAAGAATCGAATTTATAATATTATAATATGAGAATTATACTCCACTCACTCGATCCCCTCTTTCGGACGTATTTGTTAATTTCGTTCTATACAATACTAAAATTTATTCGGTCCAAACGTCAATTAGGAAAAGACAAAGCAATACCGAATGAAACCCACGTTTGTATATATATTTGTTTCCGGACCTTGCCATCGACTGAATTGAAGAAACCAACTGCTACGTACTGATGCCCTTTTTTTTTTCCCAGTAATTTATTCATTACATATGTGTATGTATTTATTCATTATATATGTGTACGTATATATGTGTGTATAATTAAATAAAATAGGTATATCTTTTTATTCTACGTACTATAAACCAACAAAGTGAAAAGAGTTTGGTTGCCCTTAAGTGTGTATGGCGTTGCACAAGCGAGACAAATTAAACCCCACCTAGATCAGTGCCATCGAATTAGGTGGATATGGTTTCCTCTATTATTGCAACATTTTTGGCAAAAGATTTACATATATGTATAGATTATAGTGTAATTCCGATCTATACTCTTATAGTCTTATTTTCAATTATCGACTATCAATCTGATCATTTCAAGTTAAATCAATAAAAATGATTGAAATGTCATCATATATCATGCGAGTAACGGTAAAATTTGGTGAAATTGAGAGACCAAATTAGTAGTGAAACACTAAATGACAAAATGCCACTATAGTTGAGAACTTGAGATCATATGAAAAATGGGTATTATGTCTATGCTGAAATTTATCATGTTCGTGTTCGGGAGTTCAAGTAGTATTTTTTTAAAAAAATTTTAAAGTAGCAATCTTCAAAGACAAAATCCGTGCATTTGGTGTATAGTAATCCATTTATAGTATTCCTAAAAAGGCAAGGTGACACTTTAATATCTTATCGCGCAAGAATCACATGTTTGACGTAGGAACCACTTGTGTATTTTTTATTTTTTTAAAGAAATAATATTCTTAAATATAATATATAATATATGAATAATTGGTATGTATAAAGTAATGTACGTTCCATAACTTTTAAGATTTATATAATATATATAATTGCATGCATGTGGCTTATTTTAGGTACATATTATTATGCTAATTTTATTGAAAATC